CTTTTGCTTACCATCGGTTGGTCAAATACTCGAGTAAAATACTCACCCTCAACGTTTTAACTTTGCTGCTTGACTCTGGTCAGATTTTGGCCGTCTCGCACTAAGGTTGGTGTAACAATGATGTACTCTTTCTCTCTCAATTCCATATGATAGATTTGCATATAATACTCTATCGCATGCTCCCACTGAGACTAACGGCATCAGATGTTGAAAGAGTGTTTCGATTATGCAGCTACGAAAAGTATTGTCATCAAAACCCTCACCCCTGCAGTTGTTCATTCTTTGCAACTAATCAAGGAATACAAAAAATCCTTGATTTACAGTCAACAGGGTCTATTTGTCATTTCCGCGGACCACTTTTCTTTCGGAGAGCGCAAGCAACAGCATCAGACAGTGTCTCGAACGTTCTGGATAATACACCAGTGTAAGATCTTTGGCAAGAGGTAATTTGAGTCCAGAATAGATTCCATCGAGGCATTTGCTCCAGGCCATTCTTGCCTTCCAAAAATAAATCACTAAAACTCATCAGTCATCCCCACAGCGTCAGTCCTTAAGAGTACTAGTACTATTGAATAACTTCGAATGGTTAAAGAATATAACTTGAAAATATCATGCTATATACATTGATTGAGACTGGGCGATATGGGAAAATTTCAGTCTCAAGTAACAACAGGTAGTACGTAGAAACAGATACACGGCTGATTCAGATTCAGCCCCGGCAGAAGTGCAGGAGCTATAGCGGCCTTTAAGGATAGACGAGGAAATGGTAAATGATTTCAGGCTTCCTGCCATCGAGCTTGTTCATGCACCTATACCATCTGTAGTACTCAGTGCTGGAAATAGACTGAGAGAATTCGATCTCATTCATAAGCAAAAGAATTGAGATTTTAACGATGGAATGGTGCTTCACGAATTTCGATAACGCTTGGAATACTGCACTCAAAAGTACCTCTGTTTTTGAGCCACTGTTTTGCAGAATACCGGATCCCAGTTTTAATGGCTCTTGCATTTTATGATAGAGAGTGGTAAGCGATAGACAGTTGAACGAAGTTTCATCCATATAAAAGCGGCAAACGGATAGATTAACGACCTGATGGCGAACCTGTAGCCAACGTATATAGAACACTTCATTTTATTACGATTTTAACCTAAGACATGCCGGAGTTGGTCCTGCTGGCGCCTTGAGGATGTTGTCTCTGTCATCAGCAAGAAATAGTGACCCACAAAAATTGATGGATAGACGAATAAATGGATGGGTGAATGGACGGCTGGTTGGACAAATGGATAAATAAATGGAATAATGCGTGATTTAATAGACGAACGATGAACAGAGGGAAGTATTGACAGATGGATGGATGAAAACAATATGAACACAGATGAACTAGTGATTTATTTACACATCATAAAGAACCCCCATACTAGAATGAGAACAAAACTACCACATCCAGCCTGAGAAGCGCTTCTGCCCATTAGATGTAAGCCTTTCA